CTTGTTCGTTCTTGTTCATAGGTTATGTTGAACTTTCACGTTCGGTCTGGTTTAAAGGTGGGATTATTGTTTCATTATGATGTGTGATATGTATTTAAAGATATGACGAATGAGGAAATATGTTGTTAATGAAGTATGGTATTTAAATTGTGATACACATGAAATCATAGGGGTATGAAAGAGTATTCCAGGGAGGAATATCTCAAGATTGGTTATTGAATGGTAAAGTATGAATATGGTCAGATTAAGCTGTCATTCATCCTGACATTCTAATGGTCACCGAGTCTCAAGTAGAGAATGGTGGCGCATGTGGTGAGAATAGCAGGAGGCCTGGTTCGTATAGCTTGGGGTTCCAGCTATCGGACTAAACTCATGTGTAGAGTTGGGTTTCCAGCTATAATGAGGGATGAAGGGCTAACCTCGTGTGGCGGCTTGGGTTTCCAACTATGGTAATTCTGATGATTTTCCAGATTACCTTTCCACGAGTGCAAGAACGTCGTATCTACGTAATTCATACAGTCTGGGCAGTCAGAGTAAAGTGAACAGTCAATGCATGCATTGCGGTACGATTATGGGTGGAAATGTATGATTGTTTGTTACATGATGGACTGATTGATTTATATCAGATTTATGTGAGTAATCTGTTTACATAGTTAATTAAATTACACTAGCTTACCCTTATTTTCCTGTCTTGTCTGGTTGTCCTTTCGGTCGTCCTCGTCCTTGCAATGATCACCCTGTGGGTGTGAGCAGAAGGAGCTGAAGTTTTTCTGGAGCAGGCGATGGCAGGAGAAGATGGTTCTTGTTAGGGTAAGACCGTTCGGTCTGGTGCTGGTTTTGTATTAGTAAAAGACCGTTCGGTTTAATACGTTGCTTGTATGACTGATCAGTTTGATCTTATGAGTTGTGTTAATATAAGTTTGTGTAAAGTTGTAAATTTATGGTTATTCTAGGATAGCTGTAAATTAAATTTATTCGTCTTATAAATTGTTCTATTTTATTATGAATGTAAGGACTCTTAAGTATATTTTAAAGCTATATTTTTGGGAACGTTACGTATATTAACAACTTTAACACAATTTTAAATAAAATTTAATGCAAAATATAAATTTAAATAAATTTAATTTTGTTAAAAATATTTAATAAAAATATTTGTCTAATATTTAAATAAAAATTGAATTTTGTTTTAATTTGGTGAAGATGAAATTATTTAATTTTAAAGAAAATTGAGATAAAATAATAATACTAAAACCAAATTGAGACTAAGTTACTAATACCTTAAGTGACATTGATACATGTATTGTCACTGCTACATCACACTATTATTGTCACGTGGTATGACTTAAGGACACATAATATTTTAAAAAAAGTAAAAAAAATAATAATAAATTTTAAAAATTAAAAAAAAATCATGAATTTTTAACATAGTACAATAATAACGGAAATAACCTAATTGTATAAAAAAAAATAAAAAAATTGAGATGTATAAAAAATGACTGGTTGGGGATTTCTTTACAAAAATGGAGCAAATGATATAATTTAGGGTTAAATATGTTTTTAGTCCCTAAACTATTGGCCGTTTCTGGTTTTCGTCCCTCTTCCAAAGTAAGGTACAATTTGGTCCTCATTCTTTAGAAAAACGTTCGTTTTAGTCCTCAAAATTTTGTTTTTAGTCCTCATTTTAGTCCTCAAAACGTTCGTTTTTTCGACTAAAACGAACGTTTTTTAAAGATTGAGGACTAAATTGTACCTTACTTTGGAAGAGGGACGAAAACCAGAAACGGTCAATAGTTTAGGGACTAAAAACATATTTAACCCTATAATTTAACATATAGTTTATCATTAATATCTATGCAATAATTCTTATTACATGAAAAATCTATATTCAAAGATATAGTTCAAGAAAGAAATAAGAATAAGTAATTCTTATTATATATAATTATCCACAAGAGATATTTGTATCTTAGATAATTATGTCCTTTACGTCTTTATACACACAAATTAATAGAATTATATTTTCTTGTTTCTTTTAGGCATATCTTTTTTACATTTGTACTTTTATAAGTAATAATTTTATTAAGTTCACACTCAATGTTATTATTATTGTTAGTAGAAAATTATGTGTACTGGTATCACCTAACAAGTAATAAATATTATTATCTCTAGATAAATTTATGTATACGTGACAACTTTCGTAATTTACAACTCAATTAGATAACACAATTCACAAAAGTACAAATAAACTATTTTTAGTGTTTTATCAAGTAGTTGGTATGCAATAAAAATTTAACATAGAGTATATACAATTATCAAAACTATATTTGATCCATTTCATTCTCATGCATTTACAAACATTTCAATTCTAATTTAAAATCAAAATCAACTCACAATATTACTTAAATCACATCTCTATTGACTTTGAGCCTATGATAACTCAAATTTTTCCATGTGTCTTATCTTTATTTTCATCAATATATTGCTCTCACAAGAACACAAAAGATACTAAAATGAACAAGTTAACCTAATTTTGATATAGACAAAGATTTGAGAATTAGAAACATAAACATAAAAACAAAGAAGATAATTAAAAAACAAAAACAAAGAGAAAAGAAAATACATAAAAACAATCCCACCAACTAAACAATAATTTCAATATGTAGAATTATTAAAATAAATTTCTCAAATAACTTTAATCAGATCCCTCTTGTTGCAAGAGTGCTCAGTACTCTCATAAGTTGATGATAACTACTTTTCCTTTTCTCTGAGGTAAAAACACTCAGATTCTTGTTGTTTTGTTTATCTAAGTCTGACACACACTACTCAATCCCTTGACACACACAACTCTATCCCTAGTGACTTGCACTATTTGGTTTGATTTGGTTAGTTAGGCTACTAAAATCTCATTCCTAAGATCTTCCAACAACTATATCAAGCTTTAAGATGTATGTCGAATAAAACATTAAGCATAAACCAAACCAATGGAAAACATAAACATATATATCTTTTTTTTAATAAAAGCAATCACAAGAAAATAAAACACATAACAAAGTCTAAAGAGTCACAAACGCTTAAATCACCTTGTGTTAGAACACATGTCCCTAGCACCTGCGCCAAAAACTTGTTAGTGGAAAATGACAAGTGCACCGATCATATTAGCAAGTAAGAAATATCCTTATCTCCACAAGGACTTGTGCAACATGTGACAACTTTCATTATTCACAACTCAATTAGACAACAAAGTTTACAAAAACACAAAGAAACTTTTTTTGGTGGTTTATTAAGTAATTGGTATGCAACAAAAAATTGTCATAAAGTATATACAATTGTCAAGACTAGATTTCATCCACTTCACTTTCACACATTTACAAACATCTCAATTCTAATTTCAAGTCAAAATCAACTTGCAAGATTACTCAAATTTTATCCCTATTGACTTTGAGCCTATGATAACTCATCAAAGTCCAATCATCAATAAGCAACCATGCATTAAATTTAAGAGTTTTAAAATTACTAATGAACCATGTTTTATCCCTAAAAGCTCTAGGTATTTAATTTTAGTTATAGGTTCAAAAAACATTTTTCAACACCATAAGAACCACAAATCAAGCCACGAATGATCAAGTCACAACAAACATTAAAGATAGAAATAAAATACTAACATAGAAATGAAAAAGCATATGTATTAACATCACAAAATACATAAGATTCAATTTATTATATCTAATATCTACAAAAGGTTTAGCTCTCCATGGTGAAGAACCTAGGATTTATAAATTGAAGAGAATTGAATCCATAAAAAAGATAAAGGCCCTTTCCCAAGGCACCTAATAGCTACTCTAAGCTTCCATCACGCATTTCCACCTCCAATATGCAACTCATCTTCCTCTTTAATCCCTAAAGGGAGAAAACCACACCATGGATGAAGGAGGAAACCCAAGGAGGAGAGAGATAATTTCCTAGCACCCTAAACAACCTTTAAAGGCCTCTCACAAGCACCCAAGGTGAAGAGAAGTCGTGAAAATGAAGAATTTTCCAAAACCCTTGAAAAGAACATGCTTAAATACTCAATTTTGATACATAAGTGTCGTCGCTACCCGACGTCATCTCATAATCGCTGGCTTTATCAGTAAAAATGCAAACCAATGACTTTGTTAGACTGGTGCTCAATGCCTTTCATCACTCAACAGAAATTCTTTCTTATTAACTGATACTCAACACACTACTTTGTATTAACTGATACTCAACACTACTTTTCCACCCTTTACCTATGCAAGGGTTGGTGGTGCTCAACTCCATAAAAGTGAAGCTCTACCAACATCACTCTATAATTGAAACACTAGACACGATCGTACTGGCACAAATATTTGTTTCAAATTGATTTTTTATTGCTTAAAACATTATTCCTTTTTACTTCTTTTTCTCTATTAAATTGCTCTCTATTTATTTATTTTATATACTTAAATAAATATATTAAAGATAAAATAAATATAAAATAACTAAAATACAAAATAATATAAATATATTAAATTTGAGAATAAAACAAGATAAAATTTATAGTAAAAAAATAGATTATAAAAATACTCGTGTTAAAAATATTGTAATTGATAACTTTATTGGAGTTTGTTTTCTACCACTTCTGTGTAATCAAACTATTTGAACCGGAGAAGTATTTAAGAGAATCAATTCAATATTGGTGACACGTGTTAATACGAAATTATTTATTAAGTTATGCAAAATTATTTGTGTTTTCTTAATTAATTATATTTAAAGAATTAGGTAAGATTATCTTAGAAGAGGTTGAAAAGGAGAGTGAGTGAAATGATAGATTCAATTCTCTAATTAATAAAAATTTAATGATTAATATTTGTGTATAAAAGAAAATCTTTACTGAGAAATGACGACAGGAAAGTGTGAATTTTGCACAGGAGATGAAGAAGGGTGAACTGAGTGTGTGGAAGGAAGAAAAGAAGAGGTGAAGTATGGCGGGAAAGAAAGGAAGAAAGCATAGAGAGAGCATGGAGAAGTACGAGGGAAGTTTCTATTCTCTATCTTTCCCCGACATAACAATGGATACAATATTATTAATCTCCCAGTCTCTCTCTTCTCTTTCTTTTTGCACAATTTGATGCAATGAAAGGCCCACCAACCAACCCTTTATATTCCCCACCTTCTTTCTCTCCATTCACCAAAGTGCACAATGCTACCATTCAACCAAGCTACCCTAACTCCTAAACCCCTCAATCCCACTCCCTCACCCAACCACCACCAACCTCCACCACCACCACCACCACCACCACCTTCCTCTTCTTCTTCCACTACTCGAACCATGACGAACACCAATCCAATTCTAGATTCTAATCCTCCAAACCTCGAAGGAGATTCCGATTCTGATATTGACGCTCTCATCAATGCTTTTTTCGAACCTAATCCCCAATTCCCCTCTCTCGATCAACTCCAAGGATCCACCTCCGATGCCAATGAATCATCTCCCAAGAGAGGATTAGACACCGGGGATGATTCTTCCCACGCACCAATTCCCCTCAAACGCAGTCGTATTGACAATGTCATCTTCCCCCGCGCTGATCTCCACGCCGCCTTTCAAATTCAAAACCCTACTCCTTCTCCTTTTCCTCTCTCTCAGCCTCTGTTGCATGCCGCCGCTACCAATGGAGACACTCAAGTTGTGGAAGGGCATGGGAGGCGCCCGGTGTTTGACTCCGATTTTCTGTCCAGGGCTCTCCGTGAAGCTGAATCGGTCCTTCCGCAGAATTCAGGCGAGAACGACGTTAACTTTGACGTGGAACCTGGTGATTTTAGTGCACCTTATCTATCGCTGAATGATTTTAGGAGGATTCGGAACATGGAGCGTTTCCGACAGATAGCGAAGGAAAGCGCCACTCACTATGCTCGATTCACGTCGGAGGAGACCGCAGATGAAAGGCCGTCTTCTTCTGCTGCGCCTCAGGGAATCGACGATTCCACATCTCCGTTTTCGATCTCGATGAAGGCGATCAAAGAGGGAGCGGCGAAAAAGAAGGGGCGTGAGACGTGGGTTGCGAAGAGTCAAAAGGGGGAGAAGAGGGTCTGTGTTCCCTCCTTGCAAGAACTGTGTCTCAAAATTCTCGCGGACAATGCTGATGCCATGGTTTCCCTTGAGGGTGTGCCGGATGAGTTGAGGCACAAGCTTTGCAAACTGCTCTGTGACTCGAGAAAGATGAATAGTCACTTTCTTGAACTTCTTCTCAGCGGGTCTCCCACGGAGATTCGCCTGAGAGATTGCTCCTGGTTGACGGTGGAACAGTTCGCCGAATGTTTTCATTCGTGTGACACTGGAAGATTGGAGGTGCGTATGTTGTTCAGATGATTTTGATAGGCATATGTCATTTTTAACATAGAATGTTGAATTTTATTTAGAATGCTAGTTTTTTTAACAGGGTGGTTTATATTTTTGTTTATTAATTTTTATGTGTGTATATTTTTTGAAGGTTTTCTGTTGGTCCTTGTTTGAGTTTTCATCTGCATGCTCTACCTGTTTTCTGTGTATATGACGAGCAACTTCTTCCATGGTGATCTGAATTCTGTTTATACATCTACTTGTTGTGTAGGTGCTGCAACTTGACCAGTGTGGAAGGTGTATACCTGATTATGCATTATTTGGTCCTCTGAGACAGTCACCATGGTGGTTGCCAAGACTAGTTAATCTGTCCCTCAGTGGTGCATGCCGTCTTTCAGACAAGGGGTTGCATGTGCTAGTTTCTTCTGCCCCATCACTAAGATCAATTAATTTAAGCCAGTGCTCCCTTCTCTCATCTGTCAGTGTCAATATTTTGGCGCATTCGTTGGGATCTCTACTGAAAGAGCTATATCTTGATGATTGCCTAACCATTGATGCTGCACAAATTGTGCCGGCATTGAAGAAACTCGAACATTTAGAAGTGTTGTCATTGGCTGGAATTCAAACTGTCTCTGATGAATTTATCGGGGATTACATCACTGCACGTGGTCACAACATGAAGGAGCTTGTTTTAAAGGACTGTAGGTAAGAGCTGCGTTTACTCTTTACTGAATCTGCTTAGATTTGTGCTTGAGTCAGTTTTGAAGTTTGATTAACCATTCACCACTTTCTGAACATTGACTAATCACTATTTCTGACTTTTGGTTAAGTGTTGGTCACTCTTTGAGAACGTCATTATTTATAAATTTATGAGTTCTTTCTAACTGGGAATTATGTTTGCTAGGAAATCTCAAATTCTGATCTCCTTGCTGTTTTTCTTTGCATATTTTTCACTCTTGTTTATTTATGTTTCTTAATGTGTAGAAAATTAACAAATGCATCAATAAAAGTCATCGCCGAGCACTGTCCCGAGTTGTGTGCACTCGATCTTATGTATTTGGACAACTTGACGGATATATCCATGGGATATCTTACGAATAACTGTCGAGTACTCCATACATTGAAGCTCTGCCGTAATCCATTCAGGTGCTTTTTTGTTTTCTCCTATTTGCTCTTTCTCTTTATACATTTGCACATTGCTTTTGCTAGTTTCTGATATTTTCTGTCTCATTATAACTGTACTGTAATGTGTCTGGTCATTGCAAGATAGACTCTCTTAGAGGAGGTTACAGCTTTTAAATAAGATGATTATCTTTCTTCCTGCGTTAATATGAATTCTATGTAGCAGTGGTTAATTAATAACTATAATTTCCAATTTCTTTTGGATATTGCTCTGATGACTTTCGAGACCTGAGTTAGATTTCAAAAGGTTGATTTCAAAAGCGTTTAATTTAAGCACTTTGATCACAAGGATTGGTAATGATTGTAGCATTTGGAATATCAGGAGTATTTTCTTTTATGGGTCTGATTGACACGTTCCTTGTCATCAAGAGATTTGAGAAAATTCTTCTATGCATCTGTTAATATCACCATTTATGCATGATACAATTGGTGTGTACTGGGATGGTGATCAAGAGATCTCATAAATTCTTATCGGTGAAGAAATTTAACACATTTTTTTTCTCCACTAGTGATGAAGCAATTGCTGCATTTTTGGAGATTGCTGGAGGGTCCTTAACAGAACTTTCACTTAATAATATTAAGAAGGTGCGTTGGTATATTTACTTGTTGACTTTCCCTCGATTGACTCATATCTTGCACGCTTAAAACACCGGGCCCCTTGTATCATTAACCTGATAAAAAGCTTCTCTGTGCCCGTAAAATGATTAATTTATTTTCATAATAGCCTAAAACAATTAGGCAATTATGTGTTCAGAGTGCAATCTATTCTATGCTGGTCATAGTTTTACTCAAGCAGACACTTCAACATGTAATGTATACTTCAATTTATTTTCTCCAAAATTGAATTTTATAACTAACAAAGTAATACTCATATGATAAACTATGAATAAAATATGAAAGTTCCTTGCCGTGAAATGATCGGGCATATTATATTTCTGGTTTACGGAATCATATGAAACAATCTCTCCCAACTTGTAGTCAACTGACTCTTGGAATATTACTATTTAAAACAATCCCTCCTAAAACAAGACTTGGATATTACTTAACGAATTAAGGTCGTTGTTAATATTCTATTTGGTTTTCAATTAGCATTTTGGCTGTGATGACAAACAAAACCTTGTTTATAATGTTTTATTTTCTGACTGTATGACACATTTGGTTTAATTCAGGTTGGGCACCATACAGCCTTATCTCTTGCTAGTCATTCAAAAAATTTGCATACTCTAGATCTGTCTTGGTGCCGAAATTTGACAGACAATGAGTTGGGTTTGATTGTAGATAGCTGCTTCTCACTGAGGTTGCTTAAACTTTTTGGATGCTCACTGGTAAGAATGTTTCATTTAATTGAACTTAAAGGCATTTCTATGATGAATCTCTGCTGATCGTAGAAATATATATATATATATATATATATATATATATATGTATGTATATATATATATATGTATATATATATATATATAT